GGACCTAACGATCTCTATGAATAGTCGATGTCTTTGATCTCTTGCTCTACATACTTGCGGTCAATGAGTTGATATGTTCTATTTTGGATATAGATGTTGTAATATTTGCTATATTTTAATGATTTTTTTATTGTTCTCCGTAATTTTGCGGTTTTTATCATCTGTTGATTTAGAAATTTTTATACAGGTAAGCGTTTTGACATGGAATAGAATGGTTTTGTACTAGTTATTTTGCGATCATTTTTCTTATGTCTTCATGTATATTTTTCTTCAGAAACTATATACTTAACTCCCCCAAAGAACGTCAACCATCCCGATTTTGGGCAGCCCGCATCCATGCCGTACATGCCACCCTCTTTTAAGTCGACGGTCCATCGTCAATGGGCTATCTCATATAATCGTATATGACAAAAGTTAATGACTTATTTTTTTTAGTAGGTAGGTATCTAATAAAGTGTCCTGATATTTACATTTTTTATTTATTCTTTAAAAAAACTTTCAGAAATCATCATCACTCCTGACTGAACATTTCTTGTTTGTAATGTTTCTATATAAAATAATCATACATTTATTTGACATAGGTACTATTCCAAAAAAAAAACTGCTACCAATAGAAGATAGATATTATGTACATTGTACACTTACGTACATACCGCCTACGGGTACATATCTCACGTATATAAGTTGACTAGTCTTGCTTCTCATGATCACATGAGAATTTATCCATGAAGAAAACCAGACACTACATAACCTCGATAATAGCATTCCACACTCTACATTAAAACATATATTTCTATATAAAATAATCATAACTATATTCGACTTAGGTACTACCTACAGCAATTTACCTAATACGACTACAAGGTAACTGGTCATATTTTAAAACAATCTAACCCCAGCATTTCCCTGGAACACATCAGTGAGCGAACTATCGCAAATAGCCACCTATAATTACAATCCTCTGCCTCTGAGTCACTCATTATGTTCCCGCGCGTTGACAGCTCCGCTATAAATTCCTCTGAAAATAATAACATATAATCTCTATCAAAAATAAACAGTACACGTAAATTAAAATGCAGTGATTCATTGAGTAGGTGAGTACCCATGTTGGATATAGTTGGAGATACCTTCCAGACTTGTTCGTACAGTGTGGAGCGATGCAGCATGCCCTAAAACAAACTTTTTTACTTTTCATAATTATCATGCTGAGACTGCCACTGCGTTCTATATGCAATTATAAATAACGAAAATATGACTACATATTTTTAATAATTACATAATTTAAAAAGCTATTATTAAAACTATACGTAACGGGTTAAATTAAAATAATGATTTACAAATATCGGTTTCTACAGCTCTCACTGGGTTATGATGGTAATATAGAAGAAACTTAAGTAATTCAAGCAAATTTACGGGAGCTTTTGGCCAATTTGTTTTGCGTAGGTTTGTAGGGCTAGATGATATCAGGGAAATTATTGAGTAATTGAAGAAAATACTTCAAGTATTTCTTTATATTTCACTGGCATATACTTAATTCAAAAAATCCTCTATCCCATCATCATGGCCAGTGACGTGGCCATGCCAATGCAATCGATGCGGTCGCATTGATTTAAGGGGGCCCTAGCTGGTCACAAACCATTATTTTATTTCAAAATAAGATTTCGAGAACGACCCTCATAGAAGTTTTTAAAAGAAACGCAAGAAGAAATTGTCCTCCGCATGTTATTTTTTACGAGGACCAAGAGAAATGTGATCGCACCTATGTTCTATAAAAGGATGAATGGTCCTCTAAGCTCAACATTTTTACAAAATTTTACCCCACCCGTTCTTCCGTGAGAGCGGTTTGAGAAAAGTGAGAATTTCGAAAACAGTCTCTCATATTCAAGTAGATATATAAGAGTGCGGGAGGGCTCACGGTGGTTTTAAGGCGGATACTTCTACATATTTTTTTGCATTGAGCCCAAATAGGTCGCCGTAAACCGGTAAGAAGGAAGGCATATTGAATACAAGACATTGTTTTTATATAATTGAATTGAAATACAAAGAAAACTAATTGTACGCGCTGAGACGAAAACCCCTACAGTCTTTGGTTGATAGTGATAGGGATTATTGACACGGTAATGTAATTCATAAATATTACCGTGTTATTGATATAGTAAATGATAGCCCAAGATTAACTTAATTGTATATTAACCGTACTTTTATGATAGAATGATTTGATATTTAGTTTACACAAAACTACTATCGATTGATTTTAAACTTTTGACACATACTAGCTATATGCAAATGATTTTTTTATCCATTTAGCGTTGTTGTTGCAGTAAATTAACTTCTCCTGACTGCCATGAAACGCCAAGATATATTATGTACATGGGTATTTCAGACAATAATTAGCCCTTTCGCGGGCAAATCCGCTTGAAATGTCTAAAAAATAAAATAATTGAAAAATCGAATTTCATAAAAGAGAAAATTCATAATTCTGATGTATTTTTACTCTATTTATAAAACCCGATATCTTCATCAATAGTAGGTACATACATATTTTATTTATTAGCAATTGATTTCGTTTAAATGGCAGGAATAATTTAAGTTAAAAAAAAGCAAGCGTGTGTACTTATGTACGCACGTAAGAAGTTATACTTCTTTGGCGTAACGGAACAAAAATAGCTAAATAATTCATCTCGTATGTCCACAACTCTTTGTTTGTAAAAGGAACGCAGCTAACTTCATCATGTCGCTTTTTTGCTGTCGGTGTGCTCGCGCATCGTAAAAATTCTACTCTCAATGTTTTTTCCAAAATTGCCAAAAAATGTATAACCTCAAAAATGATTATAGCTCTCATTGCATTATGCATAGATTTTGTTTGACCTGTATGCTAAAGAGTTTTAAAGTTGGTTAGGTAGTAAACAAATCAAATGTTCACTTCAATAATAATACATAGGTATATCTGTTAATCTATATAATATATAAAAGGCAAAAGAGATTGCATGATGTATCAACGCACAGGCCAAACCCTTAGGGCTAGAAATATGAAATTTTGGAGCTAAGGAAGGATTTTTCAAAATTCAACCCCCAAGGGGGTGAAAGTTTGTATGAAATTTTTTATTCCTTGGACATATTAGCATAAAATTTCGTATGAATTGAGTACGGCAAAAATAATGAGTTACGTCTTTCAGCATTTTCCAAAATTCAATCCCTAACACGGTAAAATAGCGAGTGAAAGTTTGCATGAAACCTACGTTTTTAGAGATTTTATTTGTAGTTTTAGCGCGAGCGAAGCCGCGGGTTCTGCTATTTCTTATGAATGAACTGTTAATGTGACCTAAAGTGATTTAAGATTTGGAACAAGCTGTAACTCATCAACACATGTGCAACAAAATCAGTTGCTAGCGGGAGGCGGATAGTCATTTAAACGCAAATGAAGGCGGGGCTGTGACGCCGGTGACGTCACACGACGATATGCGCGAGCGCATATGTTATACTATGTATGTAAGAAGTATTTCTTGTTTAAAAAAAAAAAGTTTTATCTCCATAATATTTTTTATATTTTTTGAAAAAAAAAAATATTGTAAATTTAGGAAACCCTTAGTAAGATAACTATAGAAATCTTAATTAGTGTAAGCTCTATAAATACAAACTAAGCTTTATAGTTACTTGCAATAAGGTTAAATGCACGCATAATAAAAAATATAACCAAAAAAATAAGTAAAAAGCCAACAACGTCACGCGGTGTTCCCAGGCGGTCACCCATCCAAGTACTAACCGCGCCCGATGTTGCTTAACTTCGGTGATCGGACGAGAACCGGTGTATTCAACGTGGTATGGACGTTGGCAATTATGGAAGCATAAATTCACTTCTATTTCAACGTGACACTAAATAATCTAATAAATAATAACACCTTCCGGTAAATTTCTAAGCAATTAATTAAATTTCTAAGAAATCTAATGTTAACTGTAACGCCAGCGTGTTCACGGTCGTTGAGGGAATAATAATATTATAATTATTAATTTCTTCAGAAATTGAACGATATATATGTCTATACATTATGTAACATTACAGTACATTAAAAGAGAAATGTTAGATAGATGAATTGGATTCCTTTTGATTCAGTAAAGGTAATTAGAGTACAGGTAAGATTCTTTGAATTTTGAATAAACTTCAGCAAATTTTCGTGTTATTGTAGTTAATTAGTTATAGATGGACGCGAGAAGCTAAGAAACGCACTAGGGTCTGGGAGGCGTCAGGCGCCCCACCTTGGTTGGCGGCGACCGGTGTTCCATGCGTGATGCGAGATTGCTCCTGGTACTTCTCTGCGACGCCACATTAAGTTGTGGATGATTTCGTTGAGTTTTAGGTTAGAGTAGTTAGTTTGGGTAGTACTGCATTGTCTAGCCGGCGAATCCCACATAATCATCTGTATGTAGGTATATGTATGTATGCAGGTGGTATCATGGTATGTGTAAATGCATTTCCCAACGTTAAAAAATACTATAGATAGATGTAGTGTAACCAACCAGATGGTTTGATGGGTTTATTTAATTATGTAATAGGGCTTATAAATAGTAATACAAATGTAGCAAAATATTAATATGATTAAATTGCTAAAGATATTTAAGTAGGAGTTTGTTACATAATATAATAACAACAATACTTCAAAATATTTGAAATACTGTTAAGTAATTTTATTTATTTGAATTATATTATTGGAAATTAAATCTTTTAATTAAAATATTTTATTGAAAAGACTGTAATTTATTTAATCTATTAATTGATTAAATAAGTTCATGGCAACACTTTTGAGTGCTTGCTTACACGTCAAATGGTTAACAATTTCTCAATAGATGTTGTTTCAAATAATATATTGTGTATAAATAATAGAAATTAGGTGTATAATAGCATAATTAAATATTTTTATCATATTGGATGTATAGGCGGAAAAATTTGTACATTCCCTAGATATAGCAACTAATGTTTTTCTAGGCTAAGCTTAACACAAAAAATGGGTGAGTATCAATGTATATTTTTACAATATTTATATTCATATCCTTACATTTGATTTATGCCCCATGTATTCCAATTGCAGGTGGTCTATTTAGTTATTTTAGAGGATTGCTAGGTGCTAGGGAAATGAGGATTTTGATTCTTGGTCTCGACGGCGCCGGGAAGACGACAATACTGTACAAACTGCAAGTAGGGGAGGTAGTTACTACTATACCAACTATAGGTTTTAATGTCGAACAAGTTACGTACAAAAATCTAAAATTTCAAGTGTGGGATCTCGGTGGACAAACCAGCATCAGGTATGTAACATTTAGTTTTTACTACCTAGAGCTAAGCATATAATGAGACATGCATGATCATTTTAAATTCATTCATACACAGTACATAAATTATTATGTATAGTGTTTTTTCAAGGTATTCTTTATTGTTAATATTATTTCTTTAGAATGTGTGTCCCATAACAGCTTTTATTAGGGGAGAAGTGTATCCATAATATATATTATATATTAGTTATAAAATATTAATTTACTCTTTACATTTGAAGAACCCTGAACTATTTGGTTACTTGGTTTATTTGATAATTGATAAGGTCAAATATCTATATAACTTGATATCTCAAAAAAAAACTGTGATTGTTGAACTAAATAGGTCTATTTATTATTTATAATAGGTGTATATTTAATTAAATAATATATTTAATTAATTTATAGTTATATATAAATAAGTTCATTAGAACTTAGTCAAATAATTCTTGAATAATATCCTATGAATAAAGATTTATTCCTATAGATTGTTATCAAATAATTTACATCTGTTTTAATTGAACAAAACTGTGCCCGATAAAATTATTTGAATAATTATTTATTTTAATATGATTGTATGTATGGTCACATGTTGTGTAATGATAGTAAGTAAACACAAAGTTTTTTTGTCATTATCATTAGCTACTAAACAAAACTGTTGATCCCATTTAGCAGCAATAAATTTCAAGTCACAATTTGTTTATAAATCAGATAAAAGTGTATCCATACTAATATTATAAATGTGAAAGTTTGTAAGGATGGGTGGATGGATGTTTGTTACTCTTTCACACCAGAACAGCTGAACGGATCTGGATGAAATTTGGTACAGAGATAGTCTGGAATATTATATACTTTTTATCCTGGAAAATGTATGGTTCTTGTGAGGTAGATTTGTTTTTGTCATTAATTTATTATATATTAAACACAAATCCTCCTTATTATGACATTAGCAAATACTTAAGAGATACATTTATTTTACTTTCTTTTGTTTACGAGCAAAGATACTTAATATAATAATTATTTTTTTGTTGGTTACTTTATACATAGTATGTAACTAATTTATTATTGTATATTTTTCAGACCCTATTGGCGATGTTACTATGGGAACACAGATGCAATAATATATGTAGTTGACTCGGCAGATAGGGACCGAATAGGAATATCTAAAGATGAGCTTGTGCATATGTTAAGGGTGAGTCAATTTTAGGAACCTACTTTATACCTTTATTTATTATTTATGCCATTCTATCATAGTACTATTTCCTACACCTAAAAGTTGCCTGGACGGAATCACTTGTTTAGGATAAGGCCCCCTCTTGTACTGTCTTCTATAAATACATGCATTTTTTTGGTGTACAATAAAGGGTTTATTATTCAGTTTTCAACCAAAAATGATGAAATTTCTATGGGAATGTAAGAGGAAAATTGCATTAAAATTTAAACAGAAAGAGGATACAAATGAATTGCAACCAAATTCCAATCAATATGTGTTTAATGCTAGTAAAGTAATTGATCCAATCATTATCTTTTTCATAACATAAACTATGTTTTTATACTTATTCAACCAACAAACTTACAAGTTTTTGTTTTTATACAAAATATGCTGACATCTATATAACATTGCCAAAGTAATCTCTGCTCATCTGAAGAAAATTGAATTGTATTGATAATTCATTAAAGCCTAGAATTTAATGGTATATTTCTATAATTAGTACTCATCTCAATATTTTAACATTTTTTATTACTTAGATATAAATTTTAATAATAAGGTAACAATGTTGTTTGATCCTGAAAATTAATACGTTGAATTTTAAAATAGTTTATTTTCCTTTCTACAAATACCAAAATCAACAGCTTATAATGTAACTACCTTGATATCGGCTTTTTGTGATGAGAAAATAAATAAAATTATTATTATCTCAAACTATCTATATTTTTCAGGAAGAAGAGTTAGCGAACGCAATTCTAGTTGTTTTAGCAAACAAACAAGATATGGCCGGTTGCTTAACAGTTGCCGAAGTGCATCAAGCGTTGGGTCTGGACGCTTTGCGTGATAGGACTTTCCAAATCTTCAAGACGTCAGCGGTGAGGGGCGAAGGCCTAGATCAGGCGATGGACTGGCTGTCGAATGCGTTACAAGCAAGGAAATAACATTAATGATATATTATGGTATGTGTTTTTTGTTATTGCAATTTATGTACATAAAAAATTGACATTTTAAATAATAATATTTTTATCTTCGTTTCACGACGTTAAATCATAATAAAAGCAATATAAATGAAATATTTTAAATTGTATATTGTACAATACTAGCAACTCTAATAAGAATTAAATTTATAAACTTTGACTATTGTAACAAACTGTGGTGCCATTTCCATTTTCTTCTAAATTAATTTATAATTTTGTGGGCAGACACGTGACCCGACTAGTCTCGTGACCATGTTCACTGTCCATAAATGAAAATAAAAATAAAACAGCAAAATAATCCGAAAAATAGTCTCATTTATTAATTAAGTATGCTAGGCTGTCATACAAAACATAACGTTCAAAAATATATTTTTACTAGCCTAAGCCCATGGCTCCACTTGCACAATAAATGCATCTATAAATATGTTATTACAGAACATAAACTTTCTCCATTCTAACTGTTATCATCAAATCCGTTGAGTTCTTAAATATTGAAAAAGATATCTTGTCGGATTATTACGCCATTGAGACGTCTACAACCTTAATCTCTCCCGTGACCATGATTGCTGTAAAGCAGTCGAAACGTCCGGAACCAAAAATCAAAATAAACCCGCGAAGAAATCAGAAAACATATTTTTATTTAAAATGTATTCGCGTAAATCTAAGAAAGTATTATTGAAAAAGAATGAAACAGTATTTCATTTACAAACTTTCTTTCATGCATTAAGTTTAAAGTGAGATAGTATGTATACTGACTTACACTTAAAGGATCCATGTATTAAATGCTCCTGAACAGATAGCGATGATTTTTTTACTGTTAAAGAAAAACATTACCAATTAAAAATGAATAACTACGATGAATGTTTTGTAATTCCAACGATATTTTATACATACTAATTTAATCTTCTATGTAAATGCAAAAGTTTGGACGAATGGAAATTTGTTACTCAATCACGCCAGAACGGCTGAACGGATTTGGGTGAAATTTGGCACTTAGATATATATAGTCTGGCACAGTCGGTGCCAGCTGACAATATTTTAAGATATGAATATCTAATAGGTAAATATGTATTTTACGTATCGAAATATGTTAGATTTGCTTTGCATCGGCTGACACCGATTTCGAAAAGATCTGATTAGGTATCTATTCTAAATGAAAACCACCGTTTAGTTATTTTTTACATTTTAGTGCCTAGAAGCCGGTTTTTATTTTAGTTTTTTTTATTTTTTTTTGCTTTTTTTTGTTTTTCACTAGGAACGAACCTGAGCGAAGTGAGTTGAGCCGATAGTGATGTGATACATGTATAAAAACTTTGAAATGAGCAAACGTTAAATATTAATTGAAGTCTGAAACATTTTAAGACCTAGACCTATTATTTAACTTGCAGTAACTTGTATTTTCTTAGCTATAAAATGCCTCTATAATGATACAAAACATATAAATTCATTTCTTTTTATTTTCCAGATACTAGAATTTTGAAAGAAAATCAATTTTGCGCGAGTGAAGGCCATAGTCATGTTACGCCATTAGAAGTAGTGTCGCCTTTGACTCCGGGATATGTTAATTTATATGAAACACAAACAAATTCCATATTTAATACTATTTTATTTACAAATGATTATGATATTTTGTCCAAAAATATTGTTAAAATCTAATTGAAAAAATTAATAGAAATGTCAGAATAATATGACAGTAATGAAATGTATCTTATTGTAAGTTATGCAGAATTATGAATATATTTATAAACAAAACAGTAGCCAATGACCCATAATATATCATATACTAGCGACTTACCGTTGCTTCGCTCGCACTTTTAATTTTTTGAGCGGAACTCTCAAGTTGTTTTCTAAAATAAAAGTAATCTCAGTTACTCCTTATAACATCAGCTATCTGCTAGTAAAAATCCCGTCAAAATCAATTCACGCGTTTCGAAGATGAGCCGGAACAAACAGAAAGATAGATAAAAATTTAAAAAATTGAGTTTTTCTTATGAGTACCGTAAATGATTTGGACATATGAAAGCTTTTATTTTGACATTACAAACAGACATTTCTTTTTTTATATGTAAAGATAAAAGAAAATAAATCCACACTTCTGTTGCTGCGTGAAAAATAAAAAAATAAACATTTGGATTTATAATTTACTCATAATGCGGTTTATGATATTATCATTATCGTTTGCGTTTTATCATATTTTTGGACAAAACAATAATTTTACTTCATTTCGATGTAAAATTGTATTTATAATTTCAATTATCATCCAAATTTGGATAATTAATCTATTGAATACATATTGTGATATGTGCCAGTGTGTCGCTAATTGTAAAATAAAATTATTTTAACGGATACACGGTTTTTTACTTACATTTATTTATTTTTAATCTGTGTTCTGTATATCCGTTGGAATAATTTTATAGTTTATCTGTGCATATGAAAATTTGAAATATAAAGACTTACATGTAAAATTTGGTACTTTATTAAAGCACAATAATAAAATCTTTTGAAATTCACCTTCTATTTGTCTGTGTCTTTGACGAAGGTCATAAGTTCAACTCCCGAGCGAGGCTTATTTTTATATTTATATTGGCTATATAGATGGAAAGTTAATGTTGCACGAAAAATAGATATAAACTTTACAATTGTTAAAATGAGAACCCTATATTGTAACTCACTTCCATGTTAACAGCATTATTATATGATATACTTAGAGTATGTACAATTCTGATAAATTCAAAGCTATGGAATTTCACTAATTTTATCCATGTGATTTTATTTTTTAATTTGGTCGTGCTATATACTATTGCATCATGCAAATACCAACAATGGATATTACCATCATTTATACATAATAATTTAATTTTAATCTTATATCTTAAATCTTAAAGGAAAAGATTGGAAATTGAGGTAGACAGACGGACAAACAGTCACAACATAAATTTTCTACAACTAAAGCTTATCACGATCCTACATAATATGTTATTCCATATAAGCTATCTTCGTAATCTATATAGTATTCCGAATTTTATTTTATCTTTAAAGTATCAGTTAGATTTTAACATATCTAAATACTGCTTTTTAATGATTTCTGAATATTTTTTTATTCGAATTTTTTTTTCTACAAGTTTTTTTTGACGTTGACTTACGAGATATAGTGACTAGGTGTGTAATAATTTAGGTATACACTATACAGCAATACGTTGTGTGTTGCGTAAGAATCGAATCTACGACGTCGAAAGTATTAGAAGATGCATATGAACTATTATTTTGATTTATTTTAATATAATTTTAATTAATCAATAGCCATCCTTATCTTGGCCGGACAGCTTTTTTATTTCCCAAAGAAACTTATCTTCTAATCGCCTCTTAGGTTGAATTTAAAAATAATTAGATATAGAATTGCAAGTTAAACAGATAATTATATCTATATATTACTTAATAACGGTTTCAATAGAACAAATCTAACATACAAATTAAAATAACCGGATTATATGCAAATATGAAAGCAATTACAAGGTTTTAATTTTGACTCGAGACGTTGGTTTGTTTGATCGATGATATGAAAAACTAGATTTACAGCGAAAAAAATCAATGGCGTCACTTTACGATAGATAATTGATAATTACTAAATTATAATATGCTAGTGGGCGAATAATATAGCATGGTTGGTGTAAAATTATAGTGTAAGCGTCACACGTGTTAGTTGAATTACGGTTCAAAATTTTTATTAATCATATATGGTCCAAAAACATGTCAGTCATAAAGCTTAAGCCTTGACCTCTAAATAATATGCATTTCTATTTTCTACATAAGGCAGAGGTCACTCTGTATTGTTAGTTTCGAAAGTTGCGAAGGTATGAGAATATCAAAAATATTTTGTATCTGTGAAGGCTATTAATTATTTATAATCTATTGGTAAGAATTGTTCTAAATAGACTATTCAGTTTATACTGTGTTTTATTAAAGGTCCCGTATTTTAAAATTTGGCACTTTGAGCATATGAGATCGATCTCCTTATATTGTACGCCTTTTTACGGTGTACCTACTTACTAAAAAAGGCAAAACTATAAAATACCATTTATATGAATTAAGGCTATCTTAATCATTCATATTATATTCTCAGTTTGTACAAATTCGTTCTTAAAATCCTTAATTAAAAACAATCATAATCAAGTAAATAATAGATGATCGATGAAACTCACGGCTTACGCAGCCTGCCGCCCTAAGCCATGGGCCATGAACCAGCAGTAGTCGCAGTAGGGGCAAGTACTAAGTACGTCACTACTCACCAGTTTACTTGTGCTGATTGGTACCACAAAAAGAGGCCAAGTAAGAATCTTTGTTTGATTTCATTAATTGACACACACATTAAACTCGATATGCTTATTGCCAATGCTAATGAGCCCTCTACCCACGCTGTAATGCAAAACCAGGTAATAATCTATCTAATGTATTAACATTTAACATACTTTTTATTGTTGATCATAATGTAATAACATCTTCATTTAAATTAATTATCCGGCCTACTCCTGCAGTTATCTATATATTTTGCTTTTTATTTCCATTGAATACTTCCTATATAAATGGCGTCTTACAATATAGATTGCGAAAACTAGGTAATTTTGAACCGTGCTGCCTATAGACAACTTAGCGTACAGAGATCAAGCGTAACTGGTTTTGCAAAACTGGTTGATGACACTTAGATTTACAAATCCTTTTTTTTTAACGTTGGGAAATGCATTTACGCACGAGGTGTGGGACTCACCGGCAAAGCCAGTACTACTCACTAAAACCCAACAAAACCTTCCCCCGTCTTAATGGGGCGTCGCAGGATCACTTACGCATTCAACTACGACGCCCCGACGGCAGGTCTGCTGAAGCAGACCACAACAACCATGGGGTTGCTCCAAAGTCCACTCTGCTGTCAGAGAAGTACCAGGAGCCCGCATGGTACACCGCCCACCGAAGAGGGCCACCTTCCACCGCCCACCGAAGAGGGCCACCTTCCACCGCCCACCGAAGTGGGCCACCTCCCTGTGCGTTTCTTGGTTTCGCGCCCGGCTGGATTGCCGGGCACTACTGAGCCCCCCCCCCACCACGACAAGGTGAACGCACGTTGGGGGGGGTAGATTTACAAATCCTGTATATCTATAGTTAATCATATAAATAATACAAAAACTAAATAAAATTATAAAAATGTTTAAAATTAAAAAAAATATTGTAATGTACTTTGTTGCCATATTTCAATTTTTTTAATTTTTTTTGTTATTTGTGGGTAGGCTGTCTGTAACAACTATATAATACCTTTGAGACATTAGTCTCTCTCGTGACCATGATTGCTGTAAAGCATTCAAAACGTCGGGAACCAAAAATCAAAATAGGTAAAGCTGCGAAAAAATCCGTAAAGATAGTTTCATTTAAAATGTCAAATATTCGCGTAAATCTAAGAAAGTATTAAGTAGGTAATACAAAAATTAATATATTGGTATAGCAATGAAGGGAATTTTAAGAGATTCGATGATAAGATAAAATGCTTAAAATTATGTCTTACACGATTTTTAGTTTTAACTTTTAAAGCTGAATAGGAAACGACAATGGAATCTGATATTATATTTCATATTATGAAGTAGCTATGGCCCAGAGGCCCAAAGTTAAAGTTAATATTAGTGTAAATAAGAAGATATTTTTTTGATTCGATTTTGATTGACATTTTAAAGGAAACTTATTTAAAACTAGCGACTCACCCTCTCTTTGCTCGGGTTCGTCCCTATATGATTCTTTAAATTGACATAAGTTTTTTTATTTATAAACCGATTGAAATAAAACATACTAAATGTTAAATTAATCTTACCACAATACATTAGAACTAACCGCACCAAAATCGGTTAAGCTGTTTCTGAGATTAGAGCGAACAAAAGTACAGACAAACAGACAAAAATTCTAAAAATCATTGTTATACCCAAAACAAATATTCACAATTATCTGCCATGTACAGACAGCGAACAGTAACACTTATAGGTATGTGTGTATATATTCTTCATTGAATAGAATCCAAAAACCCAATCATTAAAAAGAAGTTAAAACTCCTCCACTAGCGATGCCGGGGCGTAAACTAGTATTCCATGCAAATGTTGACACTTAAATTCGGATTTAACTCGATAAAACAATATCCGTGTGGTTATGGATATTTTATTAGAAACAAACTCCGTACATGGTATTTGTACTTCAAAATACTTGCACCTAACGGCACTACAACCCGCGACCCTCGCGCTGAGTCATCTCGACGTTTATCGAAACCTGAAACCGTGTGGTGTGATAAAATCTTTAAATCTAACATTAACTGATTCCAAATAAAAAGCAATAAAATAATTAGCTCGATATAAACAAATAATTTTTCTAATAACAGGTAGATCAGTAGGTACATATATATCTCTACTAATAATATAAAGTAGTTTTGTGTTTGTTTGAATGCGCTAACCTGAAACTGATTTGATTTTGCTTCGAAACTTTAACATTATTATCATTTTTGTTGAGCGGAGTCGCGGCCAAAAGCTATTAAGGTATTATATTTTTAGTGACACAGAGAAATAAAAAGAACTAAGAAACGACGTTTTTAAGTACTATACTTAAATTTTCAAATCGCTAATTACATCTAA